GCCTGGCTCGCCGAGAGCTCTGTGCCTCACAGAAATGCCCCTCTCTGCCCTTGACCCACTCCCTGCCTGCCCCGGCGCTAGCGGCCCCAGTGGCATGAGGAGGTCACCGGACGTCAGCCCCCGGAGACTGTCGGACATCAGCCCCCAGCTCCGGCAGCTGAAGTACTTGGTGGTGGACGAGGCGATCAAGGAGGACCTGAAATGGTCGCGCTCGGTGGAGGACCTCACCAGCGGGCCCGTGGGGCTCACGTCCATCGAGGAGCGGATTCTGCGCATCACCGGCTACTATGGCTACCAGCCCTGGGCCGCAAGCTACAAAAGTAAGACCCCCACGCACACCCGACGTCATTCCCCCGCCCCAGTCTCTGTAGCTAGGGTAAGAGGCGCAAGCAGCAACGCCCAGCACCCTGCCTGGAGATGGGTAACTTTGAACAAGAGGCCAGAAGACAGTGCCCCATGCCTTGGGGACAACCTCTCCGTCCTCTTACGCCCCTCCCATGCCTACGCAGTCCTCCGTGTCCTCTTCTCCTTTCTCTGGAGGTGTTGCAATATGGAGGGCACCCCTGGTGTGCCTGACCTCCAGAACCAAACCACCGCAGGGAATCAAAGCGCCAGGGCTGCTGAGCTTTCTTGGGGATCTTAGAGTGTTACCGGGCTCTGTGTCAGTCCGACTGGCTGTTTGCAGAATGTGGACTTAGGCAGATTTTGACTCTTCTGGGTGTCTCCTGAGCTGTGGTAACTTCACTTTGCCTCAGTGAAGAGGTTCTGTGGATTTTTCTAGACACCTGACAAGGTGAGCACTGGGAGCCTACCAGACTTTCCTCTGGCTGTGAGATTCAGCTAATAGGTTTGGCACTGGTGTGATCACTTAATAGATATTACCTGTGTGGCCAGGACCACTTTGGTGGACATTTGCTCAGGTTGGGAGGGGGAGATTGGCTACAACAAACTGAAGATAACTGTAACTATAACTAGATGGTCCCAGCCCTGTAGTTGGACAGAGCCAAAGAGATTTAAGAAATGGGCATGACTCACTTATTTGTGAATAAAAGACCTAACAGCTTGGCGATTTTGAGATTTTTTTTTTTTTTTACTTTTATTGCTTGAAATTGCAAAATCCTTTGTTTTTACATGAAAATATCAGGCTTTTGTGATTTAATCACATTCACTACCAAAAGCATGTCTATCTTTAGATTATTCCTAAAATCCTTCAATTCCAAGCCAAAGGTCAGCAGGCTGCTAGCAGAGAGTTTAATGGTTTTATGTTATTTGTGGGAGCAAACATGGGATTTCAGTATTTAATTTCCTTGCCTTTACTCGTAGTTCCAGGTCAGTCTCAACTACATAGTGAGACCCTGTCTCAAAAAAACAAAATAAATAAATACATAAAGACATCCAGTGTAAACCTGTAAGATGATCTGTCTCCTGATTTGCTGCTAAAATTGTTGACAATTTAGATTGCAGCAGAAATTCAAGGGATCAAGTTCTCTTTTGCACTGCAAAACACGGGGTTTAGGATAATAAAAATGAAAAACACTGGAAACTGTTTTTTTATGGGTATGGATAGGGTACTGAATTTTTATTTCTGGTTTTAAAATTTTTAGAAAATAGAAATTTTCTGATTGCTTCATTCTCTGCTTGTTTCATAACTGAAGATAGTGATACAAATTATAGTCTTCACGGAGTCATCTCTTTCACCCCTGAAGTCATAATAAGGTGTCTCTTTATAATTCCATTTGTGCCTGGCTCTATGTGCTCCATGGAAATAATGACCGCAGTTTGTGACTTCAGGGCCTGGTGAGTAGCTTTCAGGGGTGATGCTTATGTTTGGTACAAGCATACTTTATAATTCAGGCCAAGGAAAGGCCACAAGGAAAGTGAGTCCCTTGTGTCACCCACAGTATTCTCAGATAGCCTCTCTCTGAGGCTTTACTAAAGGAATAAATACTAGCAGACGAGGCTACAGTGGCTCTTGAAAGATGATGAAAATCAGCTCACTCCACTCTATTTCTGTGAAGATTCTTCTTTATTCCAAGATATTTCCTTGCTACTGAAATGCTTTAGGTGACAACTGACATTTTGATGAATTAATTGGGTTTTAAGTTTAAATTTAGAGATGCTAATGTTTTATTCATATAGAGGGAAAGGGTTTAGGGCAGCACTTTACCATCTTTACCTAACTAAAATAATAACACAGAAGCTCATCCATCTGTAGCTATCAGTTAGATACTTGGATTGTTGCTTAATAATTGCACAGGCTGGAAGAAATGATGATTATCAAGTGAAATGTCTTCCAGGAGAAGTTTCAGAGCGCTCCGTGCCTCACATCGTCATGCTACCTCTTAGTTATCCTTCACAGTGACTTACCTGCATCTCAACTGTAGGAGCTGCCCAGAGATTTGCTGTGAATTTCCAGGCTATTTGATAGGGGTGCAGTGGCTGTGTGTAGTGTAGCAGCCCAAATCTTTACTCACGGGTGTCCTCTTTGTGTCTGGGCTTTCTTTGGGTAGATCAGGTTAGAGGAGGCAATTGTCAGGAGGGCAGGAAGACCTCCGCTCACTACTCTCAACCCAGCTACTAGAGGCACAAGGTTCACTCTGGGCAGCAGTCTATTTGTAAAGAATTGTTTTTTTTTTTTCTCAAACCCCGAAGTTCCTGAGGTCTGAGAGGGACAGTTTGTGTGAAAGTTAAATTATAAACAAGTAGGTAGGACTGGGCGAGTTCCTCTTCTCAGTGGCTCGAGATGTCCACGCTCCACAGTCTATGTTTCTGAACTTAACCACTTGGCGATATTCTTGGGGATCCCTTAAATGAATAGGTAGCTACAGGTGTATCCACAATCCCAAAAGCACCTGGTGCTCAGTAGTGGCTCAGTAAATGTTTGCTGCTTGAATGAGTCGTGGTCTGCACTCTTGACCTCTGGGAGAGAAAACCTCTGAACGTACCTCTGGAGTGATTGCATCACTTAATTTTTTTGTACTGACTTTCTGTTGGTTTGGAATTGCTCTGTTCTTTCATAGTTCTTCCACTGTGTTTTCTGACCCATAAACTAGAAGAGGTTCTTGATGATAAGCTTTGGTTTGGTCCAGGGTTTCTGAAGCTCACCATTATTGAGCCTTTCTCCTGGGTAATTCCTTGTTGTGTGGACTGCCCTGCACATAGCCCTGGCATCTGCCTATTAGATGCCAGTAGCATCCCACCTTTCCCCATGTGATAACCCAAAGCATCTCCACATATTGCCACATGTCCCTTAGGGGCTGGCTTTGGTTGAGACCCATTTGTTTAACCTGAACCTCAAATTCATACTTCAAGTGATCTCCATTCTGCCAACCAGTAGTGCTGAATGAGCGGGCCTGCCTCCTGAATTCCTGGGCTCCTCCTTCCTTCTCCTTTCTCCCTGGACCACTCCTTGGGTTTTCACCATGGGCCAGATTGTAATTCACAGCCTCTTGCTTCTGTAGCTAGTGTGGTTCCTCATGCGTTCACCTTAAATCAGTAACCTGTGGTGAGTGCTTTAGAATTCAGAACAATCTCCATAGTTTCTCCCAAGAGCTCCTTTTCTGTTCTCACCTTGGGTCAGAGTAGAGTACAACCATTGGAACACCTTCTGCTCCTTTTTCCTTACTATCTACTCTGATGCAGAGCAGGTTGGGAGGGAGATGGCTGTGGAAAGGGAGAGGACAGGGAGATCAGAAAGGCTCCCTGTGTACAAGGACAGCCAGCCAGCCCAGGTGTCAGACATGCCGGGAGTGGGCATGAACAAGGGAATCTGAAATGGCGCAGTTTGGAGATCCAGAAGGAGCTTCTTGTACAGGATGAAGAAGCAACTGTGAATGCTTTTCTACTTTCATTTATTCACTTAGCAAACATTTTTGGAGCTCTCACCCTCTGCTCTCACCCTCTCACAGAGGCAGGGAACAGAGGAAAGGCTCCCTCCACAAGCATGCATTCTTCAAGGATCTCTGTTGGCAAAACTGGCCTTAGATAACAGATACCTGGGGAGACTGTAGGTAGCATTAAGGTTGAGTATTCACAGTGAGGAGGGACATTTCACTTTCCAAAAGGATTCCCTGAAGAGTGTTCTCAAATAGTGTACTCCAAACACTTTCCCCCTCAAAAGCACTTTGCAGAATAGCTTTGTAGTAGGAGTCATGCTTATTCCCTAGAGTGAGGTTCAACAGTCTTTGGAGTAGAATTGTTAACACTACATGGTACTTGTTATGGTTTCAGAGGTGGGGTTTCCAATAGGTGGTGGGACCATGGAGGCACTATACTTATTAATGGATTAATCTACTGATGAGTTTATAACTAAATGTGATGTTAGGGGGTGGGGCCTGATCAGAATAGTTGGGTTACTTGGTAGGTACCCTAAAAGGGTGTATTCTTGTGCCCTGTCCTGCCTCCCCACTCCATCTTGCTTTCTTCTTCCTCTCCTTCCTACCTGGGAGCCAATAAACCATGGACTAGACACCCTGAAACCATAAGCCAAAGTAAACCTCTCCTCTTTTAAGTTGCAAGTGTCAGGTCTTTCGTCCCAGTAACAGAAAGTGTTTCAGTGCTGGTGTGTTAGATAAAAATGATTCGTTTTAAAAATGCATTTGGGTTTAGTTTTACATCATCTGTAGAGCAAAGGGTGAGCTTGTCCCCAAAGACTACCCATTTCTAGTCTACTCCCACCTACCACTGGTAATGGGAGTCATTACCAAAGATTGCAGCCCAGGCCAGGAATATGCAGGACCCTGAACAAAACCTCTTGATCTGGATGGAGATTTTCTAGTTCTGGCTGAAAAATGCAGGGTGCTGAGTAACTAACATACCCGGTACAAAGTTACTGTGTGTTTCACACTCCTCTGGATTTAAGTGTTGCACAGGGTTTGTATGCTGAGTTTTTGCCATTTCAGACTGGCCTGCACCTAAGCTGCTTGCACACGTGGCCCTGGTGCAGCTGGGGCAGAGGCACACAGTACGGCCGAAGTCATGGTGCTCGGCTTCCACGTGACCCTTCTGCACTGCAAAGGTCAGAGTGGCACTCAGAAATGATCCTGTGCAAGGAACTGAAGATTCAGTCATAAAAGTTTATTTTACAATGGAGCTTGGCATATTAAAGAGGAGACAGAAAAGATTTTAAAAAGAAAGAATTAGAGGGTGGCTGTGGCCGGGTGAGCTAGAACACAGGATTTCTAAGGCGTCAGAGAGGGAAGTTGGTTCCCGAGTTTGAATGCATGCTTACAATTTAGAAGTAGCTTTCTGAGTCTTTGACAGGTAAGATGCAGAACCATGACTGTTTAAAGTGCTCCCCAAGTCACCGAGGTGTCACCTG